CCCCCCCAAACCACTCTCACAGACAGAAACACTAGAGTGAAAGACAAGAAGTAGAAGCTACCAGTGACACACCCTCCAACCACCCACACAGACAGACAGAAATAACAGAAGGAAAGACAGGAAGTAGGACCTACCAGTCACACCCTCCAATTACCCGCTGATCATGACAAGAGGACAACATTTAAAAAATCGCACACAACAAAAAATCGACTGACTGAAGCTGGCGGGGGAGTGACTTGTTGACCCAACAGGTCCTTGAAGTGAGATTCGTCTATGATGACACCGTAGCTACCTGCGGGAACAACATCACCTTACGTAAGTCTGGACATTAGATACATATATACAAAATCTTCAGGAACAACATCACCTTACATAAGCCAGTATATTTAGATATATATACTCAACAATTTACTCTTTCTTCATATGTGTTTACATCATAACAAAATGTCCGCTTCTACATTTCAATAGGGAGAGAATAAAAACAAGATATAACTAAAATCAAAATTGTCCAAGACCGCAACACACACATGTTTAAATTAATAACAAAATTTCCTAAAATTGTTAATTCCAATAGAGAAGTAAAAAACATGATAACAATTTTCTCTCTTTGGAAACAGTTTTTCAACAGGCAGAATCATTTCCCTTCAGGGCAAGTAATAAGGAGTGGAGAACATTTCCCAAAGCTGTAGTGTCTCTACCAGCCCAGGCACACACGAGGAGTGGAAGCAACAGGCTATGTCCCTATTGCAGGGCGCCAGCGGGTTTACTTGCACAAAATTTGGACAGGCTTTTAACTCAATAACTGTGGGTGGTTGGTGGGTGCTTTAGAGTGGTTTGCTTCTTCTTTCCTATCAAACATCTGTCATCCTTATCACTCCTCCTTGCGGGCGGTTGGCGGGTGCTCTGGTGTGGTTTGCTCCTTCTTTCCTATCAAATATCTGTCGTCCTCACCTTCCCTTCTTCTTTTTATGTTTGTTACTCTCTTGTAACACCTCTAATCTTCTGGCGCTCATATGACCTTACGAAGTTGCGAGCGCCATAAAACCTCTACTAAAACTAAACTAAACTAAAACATTCCTCCTTCTTTTCTTTGCATGTTACTTGTTAGTATCACCTCTAATCTTCGGCACTTACATGACCGTATTGTGTCGCAAGCGCCGTAAAACACTTACTAAGCCTAGACGAAACCTATAGTGGCTCTAAGCTGCTCACCTCCTGTGTGCTGAGCCAGTGTCTTGCAGAGCCGCACCTCGGCGCTGAGACCGATCACAGAACACCGCACGTTGGCCTCGACCATGGACTGGGGAGGCAGGGAGATAGAGTCTCAATGTTTTATGTGTCTATTTATACAAGACAGATCATTTAGGAGACAGGGAGACAGAGTCTCAATGTTTTATGTGTCTATTTATACAAGATAGATCATTTCTAGAGACAGGGAGACAGAGGCTCGATGTTTTATGTGTCTATTTATACAAGATAGATCATTTAGGAGACAGGGAGACAGAGGCTCAATGTTTTATGTGTCTATTTATACAAGATAGATCATTTAGGAGGCAGGGAGATCGAGTCTCAATGTTTTATGTGTCTATTTATACAAGATAGATCATTTAGGAGACAGGGAGACAGAGGCTCAATGTTTTATGTGTCTATTTACACAAGATAGATCATTTAGGAGACAGGGAGATAGAGTCTCAATGTTTTATGTGTCTATTTATACAAGAGAGATCATTTAGGAGACAGGGAGACAGAGGCTCAATGTTTTATGTGTCTATTTATACAAGATAGATCATTTAGGAGACGGGAGACAGAGGCTCAATGTTTTATGTGTCTATTTATACAAGATAGATCATTTAGGAGACAGGGAGACAGAGGCTCAATGTTTTATGTGTCTATTTATACAAGATAGATCATTTAGGAGACAGGGAGATAGAGGTTCAATGTTTTATGTTGTTTATTTATAGAAGATAGATCATTTAGGAAGCAGGGATATTGAGTCTCAAAATTTTATGTTGTCTATTTATAGAAGATCATTTAGGAGACAGGGAGGCAGAGGCTCAACGTTTTATGTTGTTTATTTATAGAAGATATATAATTCAGGAAGCAGGGAGATTGACTTTCAATGTTTTATGTGTTTATTTATAGAAAATAGATTACTTAGGAAGCAGGCTGCTTTGATCTTCCTTTGCTGAATGGAACATCAAACCGAAGTCAGTCAGTCTCACTCTCTCTCTTTCCCCTATTCTCTCTCTCTCTCTCTCAATGTCTCCCCCCTCCCTTTCTCTCTCTCACTCTCTCTCTGTGAGTGTGTGTGTGTGTGTCTCTCTCTCTCTCTCTCTCTCTCTCTCTCTCATTTTCCCATCCCCTCAGTCAACACACTCACAAACATTTATCCCAACCAACAAACCATGGTGATGCACACATTCAGACCCTACTTCCAGCACCTAAAAGACCTAACTGAGTTGGAAATGTTGTGAAACTCTCACTACAGCTAAACCAAGAGCCCACCTTGACAGTCTCCCGCACATCTCCCGGGTCACACGTGGTCAGACTGCCCATCAGGAACAGGACCTCGCGGCTGGCGTGACTCGGCATGTGTCTGTGGACACAACAGGACAATAGTCATCCCTGTGTTGTTATAGTCTGACTGTGTGAGTGGAAAGATTAGGTTGTTGTTGTTGTTAGTGATCCAGTAGCATCTGAGCGTTAACTCTTCAGTATGATTATGATGCTATTCTTAAATAGCTGCATGTCTGTTCTAATTGTTGTCTTGAGGAGTTCAGGCTGTTAGATGTGTGGAGTAGCTTGGGAAGAAAACATCCTCTTAAATCAGTTAGTTTTCTACAGAAGAACAGATGATGTTCCACTGTCTCTGAGAGTAGTCACATAGAGGGCAGGCAGCAGACTGCTTTACTCCAATTCGGTTGAGATGTTGATTGAAGGTAGGCTTACATGTTGTGTTCTAAGTTGGAAGATTATGGATTGATCTCCTCTCCTCAACTCATTGATTAGATCTTTGACCAGTGGTTTATTCATGTGGCCATACATCATCCTTCCTGTCGTACCTGTGGCCGAATCGTTCATCCAGTCTTCCTTGAGGTTTGACTTGATCATTTGGCAGCAGGTGGTGTAGTCAGTAGGAATATCAGGCTGAGGGAGGCTAGCTCCTTTCTTTGCTAGAGCATCAGCTCTTTCATTTCCCGGTATCCCATTGTAGGACTACTCTGATTTGGTCCCTACTTATCAATTTATGTACACTCCAGATCAAGTGTGAAGAATTAGGTCAGCTCTTACTTTGCTCTCATATGTCTGTGGACACATAATTCCTGTGGGGGGCTCTCGTGGCCTAGAGGTTAAGGTGTTCGCCTCTCATTCAAAGATCTCGGGTTCAAATCTGGGTAGCGACCAAAAAATAGTCTTCTCTAAAAGTGTCTCCTTTCCTGCTCTCTAGCAATATTTTGTCGTCTGTTTTTGTCTCTACTTTCTGCACCAACACCCTCACCTCTTTTGCTCCTGACTCTTTCTGCAGCTTTGCCACTGCTTCTCCTTGGCTCCTTCTTTCTACTGTCTTTCAGCCACACCCCAATCTTCTGGTAGGAAAGATTTACACCTAGCCTACTCGGACAAGGGCGAAAAATATCGGATGTCCAGTGTGCAGGTTGTGAATGTTAAAGATCCCTTGGTGGTCCGAAATTGATAAGAGTAGACTTCGGCCGCCATCCGGGCAAAATTCAAAATTTTCTACAAACTGAAAAAATGTTTAGTGTGTCACGCGCGTTCATATGAACTTATGCAGTTGCGAGCACCGTAAAACACTTACCAAAAAAAACAACCCAACCTCCCCCCATAATTCCTATGTCGTTATAGTCTGTGCGAGTGGAAGAAGAATTAGGTCATCTCTTACTTTGCTTTCATATGTTGACGAAGAGAACAGAACAATAATATTCATGGCACCAGAGAGAGAGAGAAAAAGGGGGAGAGAGAGAGGGAGAGAGAAAGAGAGAGGGAGAGAGAAAGAGAGAGAGAGAGAGTGAGAGAGAGAGAGAGAGAGAGAGAGAGAGAGAGAGAGAGAGAGAGAAAGAAAGAGAGAGAGAGAAAAAGAGCTAAAGTAAGAGATAGAGAGTGAAAAAGAAAGAAAGAAAAAGAGAAACATGTGTTGATAAAGGCCTAAAACAACAAAGGCAAAACCAAACCCACAAGACAGAAGACTCCACCCCCCCCCCCCCCCCCACCCCCCACACACACACAATGCGGCTCACCTGAGCGTGGACAGAGCAAGTTCTAGACTGTTCTGTAGGGAAATTTCGCCCTGGCAGGCACGGGAGGTAAGATCTTGGAGAGCCTTGATGTGTCTGCGAGGGTTGCCTGCCATGACCCAAGGACAGAAGGAGGAAGACAGAAAAAACAAACATACAGGTAAATCAGTACCTTTGAGGAATAAATTCTGGATTCATCTTTTACAATGCTGAAGTACGAAAGAGAATCACCAACGCAGTGGGGCAGCATGAAGATCTACTGACCACAGAGAAGAGACGAAAATTAAAATGATATGGGCATGTCACAAGATCAACAGGACTTGTCAAAACAATCCTGCAAGGAACTGTACAAGGAAATGGAAAGAGAGGAAGGCAGAGAAGGAGATGGGAGGACAACAGTACAGAGTGGACAGGAAAGATGACGGGTGACAATCTGAGGAAAGCAGAGGACAAAAATAGATGGCGAGAGCTGGTTTTCAGATGCAATGGTGCCCCAGGGTTGCCCCAACCACGGAATAGAAGAAGAAGAAGAAGATCTGAAACAGAGATCTGTGATCATAGTAAACAACTGAGTTTTCAGAGAAGAATCGCATTCATCACTAAGATTGAAACAGTTCTAATTGTGGTGAACACAGAAGGCATCGACGTCTGTTCAGCCAACATTTGGGGAATGTGGATTAGCAGATACAGGATGTGGGACAGGTTTGTGAATAAAATTTCTTCAAAGCAACAACAAGTTTTCTTCTGAAGTGGCGCTCATATGAGATGAGTATATTTATCAGCTTTAGTTTTTGTAACAGTTTTACACCACTTGCAACACAAAAAGGTAAAATAAGTGCTGAAGATTAGAGGTGTTGCTAGAGAGTAAACAACAAAGGAAAGAAGGAGGAGAGATAAGGATGATGATGTTTGACAGGAAAGACAAAAAGTTTGAGTTAAAAATAAACAAACTGATAGAGTAACACACAGTAAGAACTGGGGGGGGGGGGAAGCAAGACAAAGAGACAGGGACAACAGGGAAATAGCACAAAAGTGGGAAGTTGATAACGCCGACAGATGTTTGATAGGACAGATAGAGCAAACCACACCAGAGTGCCTGCCAACCACCTTATTTACACTCTCTCTTTGTAAGAAGTTGGAAGAGAGAGAAATAGTGAGAAACAGCTTGGTTATATCATCCTGTCCATTCATACAACTGTATCCAGTATCATGTGGAGATGAATAAAGCACTTTATCTCATCCTCAATCAGTCACCGACCCAACCACCCACTCACTCACCCACTCACTTATCAACATACTCACCCACCCACCCATCCACTCACTCACTCACCCACTCACTCACCCATTCATTCACTAACTCACTCACTCACTCTCCCACTCACTTACTCACTCACTCACCCCCGAGTTCTGTGATTTTTTCCGCTCGCTTGTTCAATGAAATGATGATGCCCAGTTGGCTGATGGGGTTCTGGTCGAAGTATTCTTCCACAAAGTATTCCAGCAGCTGGGGATCCCAAAGACAACCAGAACAAGAATGTGTCAAGGACACGAGATTACCCAAACAGCTCAACAGCACACTACAGTATGGTAAAGAAAGCATGTAACACCGCTTTCAACAGAACAACAATCTTTTTAAAGACCAAATATATATGTAAAGCTGTCTGTGTTTGTAGGACACTGGGTAGATATAATACCTTTTAATAATTATTTTATGTATGCATTGTACTTGAAATTGTAACCCAGTTTAACCCACACAGATCAATAAAACTGGTATCCTAAAAATGTATATTATTTATCTAATTAATTCTCAATTCAGCAAATGAGAAAGCCCCGTCAATATGACATGCGTCACCTTCAGAGTAGCCAAATGTCTCGTAGGTTTCAGATCCTGGTCAGCCATGGCCAGGGAGAAGTCGATGACCACAAACAGGTGTCGCATCTGAGGAGGGAAATTTTCATTTTCTTCATTCTTGTCTTGCTTCATGAGAAAACATAAAGTGAGTTGCAGAGTCCTCCCGGGCTTAACATTGCAACCCTTTATCATTTGTCAAAAGGTTTTGCTGGAGGCTCCACACCCATCAGCACTTTGTCCTCAGTGTGCTCGCTGATTACACATTTATGTTTGGCGACAAGAAATTGACACTCATGCCTTCACGAGCTGGCAGAAAGAGCATATTTCATAAGTCATAAGTATAGGTCCGATCTAAAGCTACAGCGCAAATTATAGCAAATAGCCCAAATTATAGCAAGAAAACATCCCCCTCCCCTCCCCAAGCCAACCAATTTTAACTTTCTCTGAATTTTCTAAAACAGCCAACTTTCAGGCTCTTAGGTGATGCCATTCCCAGATGGAGAGATGAGCTTGATGTCTTTTTAAAAAATAAAATAAAAATAGAATCAGTTGCAAGCACATAGTGCTGTAAAATGAAATCCCATTTGTGAACTCGGAACATTTACATAAACTGGGGGACATATAAAAGGGCAAATTCCTACTTTTATAATTTGTGGTATTCAGGATTTCTCCTTCTTTAGCAATGAATCAGATACGAACTGTCTCTTTCATACATAAAAAAAGTCAAGCAACTATTAGAGACTACTTCAGCAGTTCCTGTAGTGGAAGACATTCTTTGTTTCCAGTAGGGCAAGGAACGAAATTCATATCACAAACTGAAAAGCTTTTGATGCTCGCTGCAAAAACCTCAATAGTCTCTTCCATCCATTCATTTATCTATTTCTCACCCTTTAAAAGAGTTGGCGGCAAAAAAAGCTCTGTAAAGACTGCTAAACAAATTAATCAAGAAAAACAAACTTTAAAAATTACAAAAAACATAAAAATATCATGATTCTTCAAACACAGAAAATGTCTGAAGTAACAATTGTGAATTAACTTTGAACTCCGTACATTTCGTAACGATTGTAAACTGCAAATTATTACCAACTTCTTGGCGTAAAAGAAATGTTTCACTTATAAATGACAGAAACATGTTTCATCAGAAGAGAGGTCCATTGTTCTTATTATCTTATGACAGGTGAAAAAAAATAAATTAAGACACCCAGAACTCACCATCCCAAGTCGCACATTGGTGACTTTCTCCAGGAGTTGTCTTCTCTTGGCACGGTGTAGAATGTCGTTGACGCTGGCCTGGAGGGAGCCCGACTCATCCTCCTGGAGCTCTTCCCTGTAGAAGAACAAAAATTAACACACTCACACGCAAAGTTTATGTTTAGTTTTAGTGGAGTTCTCTAAAACTTGCAACACAAATAAGTGACATAACTGCAGAAGACTAGAGGTCTTACTAGACATTCACATCAAAAGAAAAGAAGGTGGAGAGATGAGGATTGTTTGATACGTTACGACAGGAAGAAAAGAAAGTTTGTTTGAGTTTTTAAAAAATCAAACTGATGTGGTAACTGACGATAAGAACTGGGGGAGAAGCAAGACAAAGAGACAGGTGAAACAAGGAAATAGCAAAGAAGTGGGCACTTGAAGTGAGGTCTTCCTACCATCAATGGACATTAAAACCACACAACTAATGAAAAAAAAAGTTTTGTAATCAATATTTTCATTTAGGCATAAAGATGAAACAGCATAATATATTCAGATCAGGACATGTTTGGATAAAAGTTTAAATTTTTGATGCATCATTGAAAAAAATATTTTGAGTGTCAGGGACATAAGTTACTAGTGAGCCTGAAAGTCACACTGCAAAAAGTCATTTAGAGAACTAATTTGGAGCAGAACAGGCATCTTGTACCTTCCCTCAAAATAAGTTTTATATCCATTTAAAAAAAAAATAGTATGAGCTTCTAATTTCCTGTAATGGCACAAAATGGTGAGTAACTTCAACCTGTCAACAGAAAATGGGTTTACTGAAACCATAAAAACAAGACATGCACATACTAAACATAAATTTTTCAACTGTTTGATTCCTCTATATATCCATATTCCCCATACCAGAAAGAACTCATCGATTACGTACCATGTTTTCTCGTACTCGGTCTCCCATCTGTATCCTTTGTCGTCATCATCAGCCATGTTGCTTTCGTGTCCTTAAAAGAACTGATAAAAAGAAAAGATTCAAAACAAGATGATGTCCCTTGTCTGAACTTAAACTATATTTAAGAGGAATAAAACAACAACACAGCAAACAGTTGGAGGATTCCTTGTAATCAAAGGCCTGAGCCTGAGAGTCTGAGGCTGCACACATGAAATTAATATTACATACTCAGTATTCTTTTGCTCTCACTACCATTTTCAGTTCAGGTTTTGTGAAGCCCTTTTCTGGTTCATTTTTATCCGTTTCACTTGAATATTTATTGACTATATAGTAATAGCTTTTTATATTTGACGCTTTTAATTTGATATATATCACACTAAGCCTAATTGTGTAGTAATTTCCGTGCTTTTGACCAATCTTTGGAAATCGAAAGAAACTCAGATTTTGATTTTAATTGGTGTAGTTTATAGCAGAACACCTTTGACATTTCGTGCTACCCGGGGCCATGCTTGTTTGCGATCAATGAATGGACGCAGTTTGTTTTGCTTACTGCGTGTGTGTGTGTGTGTGTGCGCGCGCGCGTTGAGTGTGTAAGGCCACAAAAGAGCGTGCGGTGTGCGTTAGTGTGTGTGTGCCTGTGTCTGTGTGTGTGAGTGTATGTGTGAGTGTCTGGGCACTCCTGTACAATTGCAGTCCCGTTTGTCTATATGAATGACAGTCATTGTGGACGTGAATCTAGATCTAGATTCTAGATCTAGAATAGATCATCTACACACACCTAGAGATCTCTAGATCTAGATTACAAATTTATAGCCTAGATTCAAAGATAAATCTCTTGATATATATCTATCTAGATCTAGATTAGATATAATTTTAATTCAGTTTAGATCTAAATAAGAAGGAAGTGGTTATCCTCACCCGGGGTGAGAATAAAAATACGATCGACCTCTCACCCCGGGTGAGACTTGCCAGCATTGGCTATTCTCACCCGCTGTGAAACAAGACCTGTTTCCTAATTTCGGAATACTGTCTATCAGCGTGGATGATCAAATTGATAAAAGCATAGAAAAAATGACGTTACAGCGCAAAAGTAAGCTAATTTGATCGTCTACAAAGATGCCATGGCTAAATTTTCACTTTTCGAATCGAGCCGAATTACGCGGGTTGCCATTTTGTTTTGCCCGGAAGTTCTCGCAAGATCTACTCCTCCTATCTCTCTCTCTCTCTGTCTCTTTCTGAATACTGTTTATCGGTGTGGACGATCAAATTGACAAAAACAAAGTTAAAATATGATGTTAAAACACAAAAGTAAATTAATTTGGTCGTCTACAAAATGCTACGGCTATTTAACTTTTCGAATCGAGCCGAACTACGCGGGTTGCCATTTTGTTTTGCACAGTTCTCGCGCTACTCCTCTCTCTCTCTCTCCTCTCTTTCTCTCTCTCTCTCCACTGCCCACAGACAAAATTGCACGCTTTTAGGCTAACAGTAGAAATGGAACGTTTGTTCACGGCACTGAATTCTACAATTCTGTTATCACAGTGTACAATTCTGTGGTTCAGGGTGAATGCTACACTGGTTGGCCTAGACTATAACGGTGAACACACACCGGGTGAGAATAGCCAAAAGACTAGCCTGCGCTATTCTCACCAGGGGCACTCAGTGTGACTTATAAAATTTATTAGTGAAATTTGTGCAAAAAATGAGCCAAATGGTACAACAGGAATGCCTTTGTCTGTGTATATATGTGAGTGCAGTGTGAGTGTGTGTGTGTGTGTCAAGTGTGTGTACTACTGTTGTACATGATGTACTTAGAGTTAGATCTAGATCTAGATCTAGACTAGATGTGTTTGTGAGTGCCTGTGTGTGCATTTGTATGTTTTTCTATTTTCTTTTTAAATTCTTTTTGTCAGACTCACTCTGTCGCAATCAACGCTGCATTAATTGTCACGACAGCGTCACTCTTCTGTCGAAGTTCTGTCGCAATTAACTTAAATTTAAATGTTTAAATTAAGTTTAATTAACGCTACCAAAGTTCATTCTCATCATGTCATAGAAACACGCAACTGATTACATCTAGAAAAAGAGTGTTAAGACAAGGCTAGAGATAAATCTCAGTATGTAGTATTATAACTGTTCAAAAACGCTGACAAAACTGACAAAACACCGTCTGTATTCAAAAGCTTCTTCTTGCAGGAAAACAGCACAGTTCAGCACACTGTCTCAAACTTCGCTGCCGGCCTTTGTTGGTGTTGCGAGAATGGCAGTAGACTGCTGTTAACTGATAGAAGCTTTTCTTTTAAATGTGTCGTTTATTTTTTGCTTCGCTTTTTCATTTGAAAATCATCGAATTACTTGGCCTGTATTATTCTTAGTTGAATGCATCGGTTTACACTTCACTATTGCACAAAAAAAGGAGATAACTTTATGGTTGAATGTCAATGTATTCTTGATAGTAGCCAACCACTGCGCCTTCAAAAGTTGGGCTTGGGTTTCTCGGTCCAACCAGAGAGGGTTTACAGTAACAGAGAGATGCCACTCGTGGTGGCGCTCCCAACAGTGCATTGTTTCGCGTATCGCCCTGCGCGGGGCGCGAAAACACTTACGCGCGGTAGTTTATGCCATACGGCGATGCTCAGGGATGCTGTTAAGTCATGAGAAAATGTAGCGCCGTCTGTATTAGTTCACTGGGTTACTAGGCCTTTAACAAAGTAGGAAGCCTGTGATTTCTATCGCATATTTTAGGCAACTCGCGGCCCCTGCATGCCTCCCTCGGCCATAAACTGTACTTTTAAGACTTTAGCTTAAGTTAACATACATTCTAATAAACAAATTTTAATAGACGCAGATACATTACTTCGTCACTATAGATATGGGGAAAAAAATAATATCACCGTATAATTAAAAGCATAAGCGATTTAATTTTCACCAAAACTACTCAGATCGTTCTCCAGAGTCCCTCTGTCCTCTCTCTCCCTCTCGGCCTGCCTGTCTGTCTGTCTGTCTATCTGTCTGTCTGTCTGTCTGTCTGTCTTTCTCTATCTCTCTTTTTCTCCCCTCTCTCGCTCTGTCTGTCTGTCTGTCTGTCTGTCTGTCTGTCTGTCTTTCTCTATCTCTCTTTTTCTCCCCTCTCTCGCTCTGTCTGTCTGTCTGTCTGTCTTTCTCTATCTCTCTTTTTCTCCCC